TGAGGCAGTGCAGGCCTCCGGTGCTGGCAGAAGGGGTCAGACTTCAGCAGACTGGGTGGCAGGGGAGGATTTTGAGCAGAGAGGGGAGTGTCTGTCGGGTGGAGCGCTGGCCCGGCACTGGGAAGAAAAGCCATGCCCTGCTGGTCGGCCGGGCTGCGTGTCCTGACGAGCGGAGGGAGCCCTCCCTGCACAGGCCTGGCTGTCGAGCAGGGAGGCCATGGCCCGCTCGGAACCGGCAGCAGGATGGGGAGGGGAAGGACGCCGCTCTCCTTGGGGTGTCAGGAAGGCTTCTCCAGTCAGGAGTGGGGCAGCAGGCGCGGAGGAGCCGGGCTGCCCTCTGGACAAGAGGAGCAGCAACGCCAGCTCTGAGCCCGGCAGTGAGAGTGGGCTGGGCAGGGAGGTGAGGCTGGCAGGCCTCTGGGCGGGGCTGCAGCTTGGGGGCCCAGATGACTTCCAGAGAGCTGTGCGGAGTCCTGCGGAGGGAGGTGTCAGCTTTAAGCTCTTGAGGGACCACACGGGATGCCTTGCGCGAGGGCTAGGAGCAGAAGTAGGGACACTGGTCGGGGCTGTGACGGAAGCGGCGGTGGGGAAGCGGGGTAGGAGCCCAGACACCCCATCTCCCTTCTCCAGGCCCCGCAGCCTGCGGCACCCGTGGTCTCGCTCCCCTCCCGCCAGGTCCCGTCTCCTGACCTCAGATTCCCTCCCTCGGCTCCTGCTTTCCCGGGTCAGGGGAGGGTGTCCGGGTGACCCCCAGGCCTCTCCCGCAGGTGGTTGTGGCAACAAACATTGCTGAGACCTCGCTCACCATCGAGGGCATCATTTATGTGCTGGACCCAGGGTTCTGCAAGCAGAAGAGCTACAACCCGCGCACGGGCATGGAGTCGCTCACGGTCACGCCCTGCAGCAAGGTGAGCCCGGCGTCCCCGGCGGCCGGCAGGAAGCCCCGGAGCCTCGCACAGACACTGCCTTTTCCCTTGTCTCCTCCCTGACCAGGCCTCTGCCAACCAGCGGGCGGGCCGGGCGGGCCGGGTGGCGGCCGGGAAGTGCTTCCGCCTGTACACGGCCTGGGCCTATCAGCACGAGCTGGAGGAGACCACGGTGCCCGAGATCCAGAGGACCAGCCTGGGCAACGTTGTGCTGCTGCTCAAGAGCCTAGGTGAGCGGGACCTTGGCTCCAGGCCGGCCGCGCGCCGGCCCTCGCACGGGGCTCACCTGTCTCTCCCCTCCCTCCAGGGATCCATGACCTCATGCACTTCGATTTCCTGGACCCCCCGCCGTACGAGACCCTGCTGCTGGCTCTGGAGCAGCTGTACGCCCTGGGAGCCCTCAACCACCTCGGGGAGCTCACCACGGTGCGGGCCTGGGCCCCCGGGGGGCGGGGGCGGGGGCTGGGAGAGCTGGCCTCACCGGCCTCTCTCCTCTCCTCAGTCTGGGCGGAAGATGGCGGAGCTGCCGGTGGACCCCATGCTGTCTAAGATGATCTTGGCCTCAGAGAAGTAAGCCCCAACTCCACCTGGGTCCCGCACCTGAGCTAGGCGGGCTCCATGGTGTTCTGTGACGTTACTAACATGTTCCCGCTGGCGTGAACCACTTGTGTTGGTCTTTTTATTTCTTTATTTCTTTTTAATTTTTTTGTTTTCTTTTGTTTTTTTTCCGGTACCAGGAATTGAACTCATGACCTCACGCTTGCCAGGCAGGTGCTGTGCCGCAGAGCTAAATCCCCAGCCCCTGGTCTTTTTACTAATAAATAACAAGTCACCCGCTGAGACAGTCATGCGTGTCCCACTGGTGGTCAAGCTGCCCCGCAGTGAGACCTGTGAATTACGACCCCATCCTGAACATGTTAAACAAGATGTGGTCCACACCTGTGATGTCGGCACTTTGGGAGGCTGAGGCCGGAGGGTCGAGGGTTTAAACCCAATGTGGCAACTTAGTGACGTAGCAAACCTGCCTCCAAGTAAAAACAGGACAGAGGAGGCTGGAGATGCCATGCAGTGCAGAGGCCCCGGTTCCATCCCAGTTCCGCAGAAACAAGTTGTCAGAGAACAGTTGCGAGCGACGGTGGCCAAGTAGCTGAATCCCAGCCACTTGGCAGGCTGACACAGGAAGGTCGCAAGTTCAAGGCCAGCCTGGGCAACTGAGTGAGACCCTGTCTCCCAAGAAAGAGAGTGGCTGGGGATGTAGCTCCAGGGGAAGGGGCTGGGGCTCAAACGGCGTCACTGCAAGAGAAGACAAGCTGTCCGTGCCCCTTTCTGAGGCGCTGCAGCACACTGTCCTGGCCAGGCCGTGGGTGGTGGTGGACTGTCCAGATGGAGGACTGTCCCTGTGAAGGGTGCTGTGCGTGGCTGCTTTGGGAACTGGGCCTCCGTGGGGTTGCAGGGGACAGTGTGGTGGCTGCAGGGCTGCCTCTGCCATTTCTGTGCCAAGGTTCGCTCAGCTCTCCCCAGGCACGAGGTGTGTGTCCCCCGGCGCAGCCCCTCGAAGTCCCTGGCGCCTCTGCCCGGCCTGCTGTGGCCCGCTGGCCCTTGGGCTGCTGCTGCCACCAGCAGAACCTGCGCTGGCTGGCTGCACCACCTGCCCACAGCATGCGCCTCACTAGGACCCTGCCCCTGGGGCTCTCTGCGCCTGCATTTCTTGCTCTGAGCTCATCTTTGCCTTTCGCCAGGTACAGCTGCTCAGAGGAGATCCTGACGGTGGCTGCCATGCTTTCTGTCAACAACTCCATCTTCTACCGGCCCAAGGACAAGGTTGTCCACGCCGACAATGCCCGTGTGAACTTCTTCCTCCCCGGCGGAGACCACCTGGTTCTGCTGAACGTGTACACGCAGGTGGGCCTGGGGGCTGGGCGGGTGGGGACGTGGCCGGAGACGGCGGGGCTGTCCGGGGCTGCCCGGTGCTCAGCACTCGCTCCTCCCACAGTGGGCGGAGAGCGGCTACTCCTCCCAGTGGTGCTACGAGAACTTCGTGCAGTTCCGCTCCATGCGTCGAGCCCGGGACGTCCGGGAACAGCTGGAGGGGCTCCTGGAGCGCGTGGAGGTGGGGCTCAGCTCCTGCCAGGGGGACTACGTGCGCGTGCGCAAGGTAAGCCCTGCTCGCCGCGGGGCTCGAGGCGTCTCCCTGGCGCTGGTCTCCTGGCGGGCACCGCCCTCTCCCGGCCTGGCCGCCCTCGCCCTCCGACGGCGTTTCTCCTGCTCTTTCCTCCCGGGCCCTGGAGCTTGTTCTCAGCGGTTCCTCAGGCGCCGCTTGCTTTCTGGCTCTCCAGCAGCCTGAAGCGAAAAGCAGAGAGTCCAACCCTTTCCCACTGACCTCTCCCTAGGCCATCACCGCCGGCTACTTCTACCACACGGCACGGCTGACGCGCAGCGGGTACCGCACGGTCAAGCAGCAGCAGACGGTGTTCATTCACCCCAACTCCTCCCTCTTTGAGCAGCAGCCGCGGTGGCTGCTCTACCATGAACTCGTCCTGACCACGAAGGAGTTCATGCGACAGGTAGGGGACAGTGGCCCGCCGGGGTGGGTGGAGTCTGCTGGCCGGCCTGATACAGAAACTGCAGTCCCTATCTTAGTGTCGGGCCTGTCCAAAAGGTGCCTGCGGATGGCTCGCCTCGGAGTGTAGCAGGACTCAAACTGCCCTCACTCACGGGGACGTGGTCACCTCGTCTCCTGTATTAAGGCACTGGACTTGTAAGCATCTCTGGTGTCCTTGTGCCTGGCTGACTGCTTCCTTGTCTTGAATGCACAGGCGCACCTGCCTGCAGGGCCCGAGACCGAGCCGCCACCCCAGCCCTGTAGTCGGGGTAAAGAGCCTTTGACCACACACCCAAGGTCCTGCCTCGGCAAAGAAGGGAACCTTACTCATCCCTCTCTTGTAGGTGCTGGAGATCGAGAGCACCTGGCTTCTGGAAGTGGCTCCCCACTATTACAAGGCCAAGGAGCTAGAAGATCCCCACGCTAAGAAAATGCCCAAAAAGATAGGCAAGACGCGAGAAGAGCTGGGATAGAGAAGGGGCATGAATGGGACCCAACAGCAGCTCGTTTTCTTTCTGTACCTTACTTTAATATCTATTTAATAAAATTATTTTTGAAATAGTTTGTGGACCTTTTGGGCTCCAGAGAAAGCACGTGAAGTTCTGTCCACAGCACTTAAACTTTATTATGTACAAGTTAAATAACAGCAGCGTTACACAGCGTGGGGGGTCTCGGCTCCCTGCTCGTCTTGTGCGTGCGCAGCGGAATCTGCAGGGCACCCTGCCCGGCTTCTGGCTCAGGCCTTGGAGCACACATGTAAGCTGGGTTCTCGCTCCGACAGCCCCAGCCCTACCAGGGCTCCCACCAGCAGCTTCTTCACAGGCGAGGCCGGCGAGTGCGATGGCATCAGCTGTGGGGAGAGGGTAGCGCTGGCCAGGGCTGGGCACACACTTGTGCTGCCCCTTCACCTCACCCCTTCCCGGCCCGGGACTCACCTTGTCCAGGCGGTGTCGACAGATGAGGCCTTTGGAATTCAGGTAGAAGGTGGAATAGGCATCGTACGTCCTGGGGAAGACAGCAAAAGGCTTACCCAAAGCTTAAGCACCTGTTTCAAGAGGGAGTTCCTGAACTTTACTACGCTTTAGTCAGGTGGGGACTAACGAAGAATCCCTGCTCATGTTATACCCTGAGCAACTAAAGCAGAGTATCTGACACCTGCATTTTTTTAAACATCTGCAGGGGATTTCACTTTGTAGCATTTGGGGGCTGGAGGTTTTAATGCTTACATACCATATCAGAATCAAGACCTAGTAATATCTTGGGAGTCTAGCAGCCAGATGTGCACCAGGCACTTAACCTCAAGTAGTTCAGGAGGCAGCACCTTTGATTTGTTCACTGTCTCAAGCATCTACCATGTACCAGGTAACAGTGCGTGAAGAAAGTTAAGTTCAGAGCTTCCTATGCTCCAAATCCACACTGTTAATTCAAGTACAGTACTGTGGGGTTTTGCGGTATATAGGTATTTATATAGCACTTAAGATTTTAATTACTTTTGCCTAAAAAATAGAAAGTTAAAAATTCTAACATTAAAAGAATATTAACTTGAAATAAAACACTATGTATTTCATCAGTGGATGAATACCATACTGTACATAATGGAAATGCAGTAGGCCACTATCATTTGCACAAGTTTGCCAATGTGAGATTGTAAACGGCACGCTATTGGCTGATGGAATGGAAGGCAACCAATCCACAGCACTGTGTTCTGTATGCTGAGTGCTGATTGGCTCACTGACAGTAGCATCTGTCTGCTCTCCTGCACTGTGCCCATATGTTCAGCACCTCTCCTTGTACACTGAGTACTCATATAGAATTTTACATGTTGTTAAAATTAAGTAGGTTTAAGAGTGTAGAAGGTGTTTATGAGCATATAAAGTGTTTATAAGAGTGTGGGAAAGGTTAATAAGAGTGTGAAACGTTTATATATCAATAATAAAATAAATACAACACTGCTACTTGAACATATTTCCCGTGATAGGTGAGGGACCACTGCAGACTAAAACAGGATCCCTATCCTCAAGTCAGTCTTAAAGGGCAGGCTGAGGGAAGCAAGTGTGGTGCCGGCCCTCTCACTAGGTTTTGTTTCGTTCTTTTTGAGACAACATCTTGCTGTGTAGCCCAGAACCCTTTCCCACTTCTTACCGGTAAAGCTCCACTTTGTCACGTTTGTAGAAACGCAGGAAGAGCAGGTGGGTGGGGAGCCCTACGAGCCGCCAGCGCGCCTGCAGGGTCCAGTTCTCCGGGTGGCGGGTCAGCTGGAGGACCTCCAGCCGGAGTTGTGCGAAGTAGTTCCAGACCAGGAAGCGGCAGAGAGTCAGTGACAGAATGTACCACGACCGGCCCCTGGGAAGAAGGGATGGGAGAAGTCTCACAACGACAGTCGGAACACCGAACTGGCTTCTGGGTGAGGACCGGGGAGCGGGTGTATGAAGCAGCCTGGGGAAGAGGGCGGAGTGCGTAGCACCGAGCGCGCCCAAGGCCCAGTTCTCACTTGGTACGGATGTTCAGGATCTCATTGATGAATTCCACGTCCGATGAATACAGACTGTAGTCGTGGGAGTGAAGAAAGAGATTGGGAAGCTGGAGAGAAGAAGATGGCATCAACTCGGCGGCAAAGGAGAGATGACCCTTCTTCTCTTCTGCTTTGAGGGCCTCCTTCCCCCAGGGAAGGGCCACTCCACCCCACCTTCGGCTTCCCTTAACTGAACAAGGAGCAGCTTTTTCCTCAGGGAAATGTGCACAGCGCAGTTCTACGCCGGCCTCGCGGTTCGAGGAAGACCACAGCTGACCACGCCATTACCAGGGACCCCCACAGCCGCCGCCCCGCAGCCCCTCACCTCTCGTCTCAGCCTCTCGTGCATGACGGCCAGGTGCTCCTCCATGCTCGGGTCTCCCGACGGCGCGGCGGGGCAGGCGCGGGCAGCCCCGTGGGCTTGGAAGGGTGCCAGGGCCCCGGGACAGGGGCCGGGGGGCCCCTCCAGCAGGCTCCTGAGTCCGTCCAGGCAGCCGCTGTGCAGCTCGGGCCCCGGCCCCTCTTCCCCCGGTCCCGGCGGGTCACCCAGCCA